CCACCCTCTGCGCCACTAGTCAACCTGCCTAGCATTGCCTTGCTATTAGACGACACTCTATAAATAGCCAAGTCATACATGAGAAGAAAATGCTAGGGAGATCATATTTTTAAACACTGGTGCCCCATCTGATGTGTAGCAAGTGATGTGTGCATGTCATTTTAATTAAAAGAAAACTAATGAAAAGAGTTTGAAAACTTTGAGTTTTAATGATAAGGACAAAAAAAATGGTAAAGTGAATAGTACCATGATTGACTTTTTAGTGTAAAAATGTGGTTTTACGTTAAAGTGAACAGTACCGTGGGTTTTTCGTTAAAACTCCCTTTAATTAATGACTTCATCATATTAGATGTTGATTGTATGAATCATTTGTCATATCATGTATGTGGTACAAAAAATTTGATCTCTCTAGCATTACTCTACAAGAAAATTAGGATAACTATTTGATAATTGTTCTATATTAGATGAAATATAGAAGCAAGTTTTCTAAACAATTATGAAATATAGTTATATAATCAAACGCTAAATAGGGTTTTATCCTAATTCATAACATTGTCGGACTATTGCTAATTATTTGATAATTCATAAGGGTTTATATATGTGTTTGGTTCATAATTTAAACCATAGATGTTATCAACAAAAAGTCCATTTATTGTCTGATTGTGTGTATGGTTCATAAATAATTCCCAACAGATGTTATCAACGAAATAAGTATATTGCCTGGGAATAATAGGTACAAGAACCAATTTTATGTATGATTACAAAAATTTTGGTCACACAATAATTAATTTCCAGTCCTCATCTTCCTGAAAGATTGAAATTTGAGTCTCCTGGTAGCTATAATTTATAACTAACGCCATTAGGAATGAGATTAAGAAATGTTGCTTGGAAGGAATTGATAAGATACTTGCCACGTCAAATTCTCATATCGGATGGTGGCTCTGTTTGCTTGATTTGCTCTAAGTGAAGGAGGTTTGTTCTTTACTGGTTAGAAGAGATCGCGAATATTATTGCTTAATTATGATGCTTTCGTAACCATGCTTCTAATTGATGGATCTCGCTTCTTCTTAATCTAAATATTTTTACTATTATACCATTAATGCAATTCTATCATTCGAAGTGTTTAATATTTAGGATCTCATTCAAAGACATGTTACGAAAAATCACTTAAATCTTATGTCATTTACTTATCAAACAACTACATAATAAATAGACAAACACAATGTTTCTTCCAAAAGAATAAAATGTTCATGATGATGTATCATATGGTCAAACAATTTTGAATTTCAACGATTTTTTTTTTGTAGGAATGAATCGAATGATTCTTTGGTGATTTAAAAACTAGACACCTTAGATTATATATTGAACCTCAATACAAGTTAATCCAACAATAATATATTTTTTAGATATAGTAACTTAACACGACACTAACTTGATGTTGACGGTAGTTCATTGCCATTGAGGTGAACAAAGATATGGGGGTGGTTTTGGGGTGGGGGGGTTGCGTGTTTAAATATGAAACCAAGAGAGTTCAGACGAACCTTTTCAAGGCATTAGTTGCCTCAAATGTGAGACTCAGTGGTACTCACAAATTATGCAGTTCGCATTCCGCAGTCAAAGAGTGTAAGTTTGCAGACACTTCACGTTGATGTTCAACATTCATGCAATAAGAGGACGCCACAAATCGGTGTGTTGCGTTCCATTGAAATATTCATCTAATAAAAGGATATATATTGGACCTTTTCTTATTTCCTCAATATACCATTAATTCAAAATAGGAGGCAGGAAACATTCCTGTTTTTTGAGTACTGTCAAAAGGCAAATCCGTGTTATGGTTTTCCTTTTTTACTTGTATGGTTGGTATGCATGAATTTTTCTTCGACAAATTTCGAAAGGTGGCTACAAGCCCAGAAGCAAATATTTTCATATATTTTATTGCTTGACTCAAAGTTTAAAATTTGGCCAAAACCATTTCTGTTTTTCAAACGATTTTGCGATTGCTTTTTGCATATTTTTGGTCTTTTAATGTGTATATTACCTGCTACTGCAGCCTATGCAATGGTTGACTGATCCATTAAAATTTTCAAGTTCTCGTATAAGTTTTGTTTAGCAAGATACTATGACTTTTTGGTCTCATATTTACCACAGCACATGCTTTGGCAATCCTAAATCCTTGATCTTCTGCCAGACGGCTGGCCAAAGATCAGTATTCTATGTTTAGGGTTGACATGGTAATATAATATTCGGTCTTTGAAGAAAAAAAAAAAAGACTAATTATTCGGTCTTTGATAAAAATAAAAATAAAGACTAATTATTCGGTCCACTGTATATATCTATATAAATTTTTTTTGAACAAAATGGGCTAGCAATAATGTAGTTTAAATTCACCTTTGGCAAGAATCGAGCGTAAAACCTCTCACTTACAAGTGAAGAGGAATACCACCATACTGTAGTACTAAATAGCTTGTATATATTAAATCCCGCAGACTAACAAATACGAATTAGGGTTTCTTTCTTTAAGGAGTACTCTGAAGTAATAGACTAATTAATATTTCAACAATTGAAGGAAATTAGTTGCATTTGCAACGGAAATCGTTTTGCTTCTTATATGTAATATAAGGAAAATAAAATTTGACATTCTTTTAAAGTAAAATTTTTATATACGTAACGAGCCAACTTAATCCAACTAAAAATATTCTTTAAAGTACATGAATATATTGGAGTTTATGTCCAACTCAAACACGTACATTGTTAGGTAAACAAGAGATCCCACATGTATAAATACAACTTTATTAAATACTTAAAGTCCATTCAACTCTGCTATTGTCTCTTCTTGTATTCTAATCTCAAGCTTCACATTGTGATCGATTTGATTACAAGAAATTGACTTAGTGAAGAAATATATTAATCGGAAGACATTTCCATTACACCATTTTTAAGAACAGATTTAAAGTTTGGCAGTAGTTGGCTAGTGGCATTAATAAACAGAAAGAACATGTTCAAAAGGTAAAGAAGTTGGGATTACCTTTCAGATAAAGAAATTGATCTCTAACTACAAGTCGTACTCATTTGTTACTCGTTGTATATCTTTAGTTCTTGTTAATGAAATTACTCTATCGCTTATTGTAAAAAGTTGTTGATTAATCGTTGTCACTCAAGTTCAACGTATATATCACGAAGCAAACTCAAGTTCAACATATATATCGCGAAGCAAACCTAGTAACAGATTAATGGCTTCACAAACATAATATTTCAGTTTCATTGTCTAATACGGTTTGCTAATAGATTATTGTCTAGTCTTCAAAACTAGCATTCGCTACTCAGTACTACGGTTTGGTGGTATTCATCTTCACTTGTAAGTGAGATGTCTTAGGTTCGAATCTCGTAGATGTCGAATTCGATACCAAATTAGGTTGCCTATATTGTGTGGCTTAGCCGAACTCCCCCTTCCCTTAGTGTAAAATATATCGTTGTACTAAAAAAAAACTAGCATTTAGTACATTTAGCACTATCTTCTATCCTAACATTATAGTAATTTTGATACTATACTAAAACCCCCCAGAGTTGAAATCCTGGATCCGTCATTGATGAGGGCGCGACTCTCTAATGTAAAATTTTTAGTCTTTTGGGTCTACCCATCGTAGAATGGGATGATCCTCTACAAAGGAGCACGATACACTCGTTCAAATTAACACCATTCAATTTTTATCATGCGGCTACATGGGTTTGCGCACACGAGCAACGTACTGCGGCTTGCGCACCTGAGATTTTGCAATCTAAACTTACCCATCCAATTGAATTGGCTTGGGTTGGTTCAACTTTAGATTTTGGTCTGTCGAATTTAGGTTGTGAGAATTCATAACTTTGAACATTTTGGATTTAGAGCATCTGCAACAGTTTTCTTAAATTTTTACTAGTTTAGCAGGTGAGTAGTATAAAAACTACTTTAACTTTTCTTCTAGTTATATGACTTTAGTACAAATGCCTACCCTCCCAATATCTTTGTATCAAGGCAAATAAACCATAATGTCTAGCTTCCATGAAAAAGGCTTCAACCATATGTAATGATAAACAGTTATCTATGCATTCGAAATCTTGTGACTAATCCATCCCGCATAATAACTTGTATCAAAAGAAACACGTCCACCCATTTTCCAAAAAAAAAAAAAAAACAGAAAAAAAAAAAATTTAACACATCCATTGTTCAGCCTTGTTAATTTCTGGCTAATGGTCTTCTTCAACTTATTCGATTCAACAACTGAAAATTAAAAAGGATGTGTAAAAAGTAAAAATGAGTGTGTGATAGCACTACCCTTTTAATTTTCAGCTTAGTCATTGCTACTAAAAAACAAAAAAAAAAAAAATAGTAAAACGAAGCTTGTAGCTCAAATGATTAGGTTATTTATCTTGATTAAAAAAATTATTATTGCACGTGATATTCTAGGTTTGAAACTTTAGAAGAAACTTGTTATAAAGGTTTTTTTTTTTTTGCTCGTAAAATTATTATTTTTCTTTGTTGGATTTTTGTGGGTAAAATTAGAAACCACTAGATACAAAAAGGTCAAAGGCCCAGCCCAACTAATAAAACAAAAAAACCATAAAAAGCCCGGAAACCTACAAAAAAATATTTGAAATAATAAATTGGGCACGGGCACAAAAACGAGATAGCCGTTATCGACAGACCATCGAGACTTTTCGGTAGTATGAAGATCTGACGGTCAGGAATTAGTAGCCGTTATATTCAAAATGAGACGAGCACATGCCCTTCTCTCTCAATATGAAAATGATTAATTAAAAAGAAAACTAACGAAAATTGTTTGAAAATTTTGAATTTTAACTATGAAAACAAAATAAAAGGTAAAATAAACAGTATTAGAATTGATTTTTTAGTATAAAAATAAAATTTTTCGTTAAAGTAAACAGCACCGAAAGTTTTTCATTAAAGTTTGCTTAATTAAAACCCCTTTTAAAGAACCCAACAAGAAACACAGACGCCCTTTTAAAGAACCCAACAAGAAACACAGACGCAGAGAGAGAGAGAGAGAGAGAGAGAGAGAGAGAGAGAGGGGGCTTCCTATGCCATTCATTCTCTACCGGGATTTTGAAGATTCAAAGCTTTGATATTTGCCTTACTTTGGTCAAGTCCCTTGATTTCTCTTCAAGGTTTGTGGGTTACTTTCGATCTTTCTTTTTTATTTTTTTTCTTTTTTTTTTTTGAAATTTCGTATGTTCTGGGTTTCGATTCGGACGGTTTCTTATTATTCTTCATGTTAGATCATGAATTTTTCTGACTTCATTCAAATATTAATTTGGGGTTTTTGATTTCTGTTGTTTGATGGTGATTTCGTATTGAAGGTGACCGAAATGGGATCAAAGGAGAACAACCCAGATCTCGTTAGGCCTTCAAATTTTCAAGGTAACAGACGTAGCAGAACCCCAGGATGTAAATACTTTTCAATTTCTGAATTTTTTTTTAAATATATCTTCTTCGTTTGCATTTGTTTTCTTTGAAATTTTGGAAAACGTCCGAGAATTTGTTTGGGGGCAGCGCCTGAGGGATGTCCATAACATCACCAGAAAAGAATGTCCTAGGTTTGTGACATTTTCTTACGATCTGATGAATCTCTTTCCATGTTTATGTTTTAATATGTTTGATTCTTTAGCCTTTCGTTTACAAATGAACTAATTCGAGACATTATAATCGTCGTTATTCAGGAAGAAAAACGTGAGAAGGTTTGAATTTAAGAAAAATGTGCCAAAGGTAGTACGAGGTTTGCATACGAGGTTTGCGCAATTGCTCCAGCAGCAGCCAAAGGTAGTACCTGTTGGACCGATGACAAGGATCTTTTGTTTGCATTTTGGTTTTTCGATTTTAGTTCGAATTACAATTTTTGGTATTGGTTACATGTAATCAGGAAACCAAGGAAGTGTCTGTGAGTTCATTTGCTGCAAATCCGCAGCTGTGCAGGACGTTGATCAGGAAGCGAAGAGACCGAAGTAGGATGGTATGTGTGTCTTACTGTCTAGTACTAGTAGCAGTTTTCTTATTCAAGGTTTTCTATCTTTTGTTTTTGTTTTTGAACCTGTTGAAAGTAAACTAAAATAAAATAAAGCTTAGGAAATTAAAAGCATCTAGAAACTTAAAATAAACAACTTGAAGAAAGTAAGGAAAGAGTTAGAAAAGTTGAGTTGACTCCCAATAGCTTGGCGCAGCAGAAGTTCGGTTAACAGTCACTTATTCCTTTAGAGTCAATGACTCGCGTGCAATTTCATTGGATGACTCCAAGCCCATTTAGAGACATAGAATTTGCGTGCTAGGATAGGAATAACAATTTGTTTGCTTTGACTATGCTTGCATGAAATTTCTATCGCTTTAACTTCTGTAAATTCTTTGCCAATTGATAATGTACAACTGATGTGGTTGATGATAATGTAGACTTGCTATCTTGTAGTATTCGTTGCTACTTGTGAAAGCCCAAATTTTTTAAATTCATAGCTTGTTTTACTAATCCAGTTTTACACAGCATAATATGTTCGCAAAATTAAACTAGAACCAATTAAGAAAGAAACAAAGTAAAAACAAAATATTTTTGAAATAAATAGGAAAGAATGTAAAAACAAAAATATTTTGGGACTTTTCAAGGTTTTCTATTTTTTTTTTTTGAAATTGTTGAAAATAAACTAAAATAAAATAAAGATTAAGAAATTAAAACTATCTAGAAACTTAAAATAAACAACTTAAAGAAAGTAAAGAAAGAGTTAAAAAATTGGGCTGCCTCCTAATAGCTAGACACAACAGAAGTTCGATGGTTAAGTCACTGGATCCTTCAGAGTCAATGACTTGTGTGCAATATCATAGGGTAACTCTAAGTACAATTCAAGCCTATGACCATAGGCTTGGCGCAACAGAAGTCTAGTTAACAGTCACTGATTCTTTTAGAGTCAATGACTCGCGTGCAATTTCATTGGGTGACTCCAATTTAGAGACATAAAATTTGCGTGCTTGGATAGGAATAACAATTTGTTTGCTTTGACTATGCTTGCATGAAATTTCTGTCGCCTTAACTGCTTTAAATTCTCTGCCAATTGGTAATGTAGAACTGATGTAGTTGATGGTGGACTTGCTGCTGGATGTAGGACCCAGTTTTAGTTTTCTGTATGTGCACTGTAGCTGAAAGTAGAACCATCTTGTATGTTTTGTGTGCTACTTGCAAAAGCCCAAGGTTTTTAATCCATAACCTGTTTTCCCAACCCAAATTTACACAACACAGAAAGTTCACAAACACTCATGAATTTTTTAACCAAGTGTTTTTGAAAATTTAAAACAAAATGTAAGACACAAAATTAAATGAGAACTAATTAGGAAAGAAACAAAGTAAAACCAAAATGTTTTGGGATTTTTCAACGTTTTCTATTTTTTGTTTTTGAAATTGTTGAAAAGAAACTAAAATAAAATAAGGGAAGTGCTATTGGCACTCCAAAATTTTCATTCTACACTCCTCACAAGTTTATTTTTCTTACTAAATATAGAAAGTTTGGATGTAGAATGAGAATTTTGGAGTGCCAATAACAATTCCCTAAAATAAAGCTTAGTAAATTAAAAGTAGGGGTTTTTGAACTTTAATCCTTTAAGAAAAATAAAATTTAATAAAAACCTGGTGTTAGAGTGAATATTGATTTTAGTCCCTTAATGTGTACTTAATTCAAATTCATATTATATTTTTATTTTTATATTTAATAGATAAATTATTTAATGTTATTACATTTAATTTTAAATTTATTATTATACAAGTTTTAATTCATTAATTTTATTTAACTTTCTCTAATTAGTGTGCCTAAACGTCTGTATCATAATATATTTTACCAAATTAATGTACCGAAATGCCCGTACCTAAATATATTGAATGAATTAGTGACACGTAAGAAAATATGTAAAAACATAAGTGTACCGAAAATTCCGTACCTAACTATATGATACTAAACTAGTTTACCGAAATGTCAGTACCTAAATATATTATACTAAATTAGTGTACCGAAATGTCTGCACATAAACATAATATACTAACCCAGTGTACCAAAATGTTCCCTACGTAAATATATTGTAATGAATTAATGGTAGATAAGAAAATATGCAAATACCGAAAAATCTCTACAAAAATATTTTCTTATATAAGATGCATACCATAATGAGAATTAAAATTTATAATATTTTCATAAAATTTAAACTTCATAAAATTATAAATAAAAAAAGAGACATTGAATACATATGCTGACATTAAATAGAGTCTAGGGACTAAAATCAAATTTTAATCTTGTATAAGACATTTTTCTAAACTTCATCTTATTTAAGGATTAAAATCTAGTTTTCTATTAAAAGTATCCAGAAACTTAAAATAAATTAAAGAAAGTAAGGAAAGGTTAAGTAATGTCCAGTGGTTAAATCATTGGATTCTTCAAAGTCAATGACTCGCTTGCAATATCGATTCAAAGTATATTTCAAGCCTGTGACCATTAACCTTGAACTCATGACTTGTAACCTCATTTTTAATGTCCACAGCCTCATGCGAATAAACCTTAATAACCACATAAGGCCCACCCCACCTTAGAGATATAGAATTTGCATGCTAGGATAGGACCCCATGACAATTTGTTTGCTTTGACTATGCTTGCATGAAATTTCTGTCGCTTTGACTTCTGTAAATTCTTTGCCAATTGATAATGTACAACTGATGTGGTTGATGATAATGTAGACTTGCTGCTGGATGCAGGATCCAGTTTTACATTTTTTATGTGTGAAAATACGAACATCTTGTAGTATTCGTCTGCTACTTGCCAAAGCCCAAATTTTTTTAATTCATAGCTTGTTTTACTAATCCAGTTTTACACAACACAATATGTTCGCAAAGACTCATGAATTTTTGAACCAAGTGTTTTTGAAAATTAAAAACAGACTGTAAGACACAAAATTAAACTAGAACTAATTACGAAAGAGACAAAGTAAAAACAAAATATTTTTGAACTCATGAATTTTTGAACCAAGTGTTTTTGAAAATTAAAAACAGACTGTAAGACACAAAATTAAACTAGAACTAATTAAGAAAGAAACAAAGTAAAAACAAAATATTTTTGAATTTTTCAAGGTTTTATATTTTATATTTTTGTTTTTGAAACTATTGAAAATAAATTTAAAATAAAATAAAGATTAGGAAAATTAAAAGCATTTAGAAACTTAAAATAAACAACTTAAAGAAAGTAAGGAAAGGGTTAGAAAATTAGGTTGTCTCGCAATGAGCGCTTTATTTAACGTCTATAGCTAGACGTAGCAGAAGTTTGATGGTTAAGTCACTGGATCCTTCAGAGTCAATGACTCGTGTGACTCCAAGTGCAGTTCCAGCCTATGACCATTAATCTTGAACTCATGGCTTGTAACCTCATTTTAAATCTCCACAGCCCCATGAGAATAAACCTTAGTGGTTGCATAAGACCTAACCCACCTGAGACACATAGAATTTGCATGCCACAGGATATGACCCTATAAAAATTTGTTTGCTTTGAATATGCTTGCATGAAATTTCTGTCGTGTTAACTCCTTTAAATTATCTGCAAAATTGGTAGTGTAGAGCTGATGTGGTTATGTGATTGATGGTAGACTTCATGCTGGATGCATGATCTAGGTTTAGTTTTTTGTATGTGCACTGTAGCTAAAAATAGAACCATCTTGTATGTTTTGTCTACTACTTGCAAAAGCCCAAATATTTTAATCCAAAACATGTTTTACCAACTCAATTTTACACAACAGTATGTTCACAAGCACTCATGAATTTTTGAACCAAATGTTTTTGAAAATTAAAAACAGATGTAAGAGACCAAATTAAACTAGAACTAATTAGGAAAGAATGTAAAAACAAAAAGATTTTGGGACTTTTCAAGGTTTTCTATTTTTTGTTTTTGAAACTGTTGAAAATAAACTAAAATAAAATAAAGATTAAGAAATTAAAACTATCTAGAAACTTAAAATAAACAACTTAAAGAAAGTAAAGAAAAAGTTAAAAAATTGGGCTACCTCCCAATAGCTAGACACATCAGAAGTCTGATGGTTAAGTCACTGGATCCTTCAGAATCAATGACTCGGATGCAATATCATAGGATGACTCCAAGTACAATTCAAGCCTATGATCATTAAACTTGAACTCATGACCCATAACCTCATTTTTAATGTCCACAACCCCATGCGACTAAACCTTAGAAACTACATAATGCCCAGCCCATCTTAGAGACATAGAATTTGCATGCTAGGATAAGACCCCATAACAATTTGTTTGCTTTGACTACATTTGCATGAAATTTATGTCGCTTTAACTGCTTTAAATTATCTGCCAATTGATAATGTAAAAGTGATGTGGTTGTTGATAATGTAGACTTGCTGCTAGATGCAGAATTCGATTTTACTTTTCCTTATGTGCACTGTAGTTGAAAATAGGACCATATTGTATGTTTTGTCTGCTACTTGCAAAAGCCCAAATTTTCTAATCAACATCATGTTTTACTAACCCAGTTTTACACATCATAGTAAGTTCACAAGCACTCAAGAATTTTTGAACCAAGTGTTTCTGAAAATTAAAAACAGAATGTAAGACACAAAATCTAAACTAGAACTAATTAGGAAAGAAACAAAGTAAAAAAAAAAAGATTTTTCAAGGTTTTTTAATTTTATTTTTTGTTTTTGAAACTATTGAAAATAAAATAAAATAAAAAACTTGAAGAAAGTAAGGAAAAAGTTAGAAAATTGAGTTGTCTCCCAATAAACGCTTTATTAACGTCTATAGCTAGACACAGCAGAAGTTCAGTGGTTACTGGATCCTCCAGAGTCATTGACTCACGTGCAATATCATAGGGTGACTCCAAGTACAATTCTGGCTTGTGACCATTAACCTTGAACTCATGACCTGTAACCTCATTTGTAATCTCCACAGCTTTATGCGAACAAACCTTAGGTACTTGTTTG